CAAAGGATTCTACAATCACAAACCACCCGCTTGGATTCTCGGATATGCAGTCGATCAAGAGATCGATCAACAAATTTTATGGTCAGACTTGTCGAGAAGAGGAGAGAACACGACGAAGAAAGTGAAAACATTTTTTTTTTCTCTTATAATTAAAAAAAAAATCAATGTAGTGATGACACGTTACCAGCCTATTTCTTTTAATTTTATTTTCAATGTTTTTATCTGTTTACTCTCATTGATGTAACAAATTAAGAAATAGAGATCTTAAAATATCTTTGACCAAAACAAAAAGATCTTAAATATAAAGATCACCTGATTACTATTAAGTTTTATCTTTCCATCACAACTAGATTTTGACCCACGTCAAGTTTGGAATTAAATGATTAAATATATATTTTTATCGATTTTAATATTTAAACGTATATGACAAAACATATGATTTCTAATATCTATAAACGTAAAATAATAACATGTATTGCATAAATATTATAAAATTGAATTTTGATTAAATATATTTTGATTTTATTAGCTCTAATACTTTTATGTATAAAATTGGTTAAAACATATGAAAAGTTATTTATTTCAATATATTTTAAGTATAAAATTAATTTTAAATATTCGTGTAAATTATAAACTATGTGAAATCATCGAAATTTTATATTTATATTAATATGTCGGACATAACAAATAAAGAAAATATATTTTTTTCAATAACTAAATGTGTAAATATTTGTAAATTTAGTTATATATGTATAATAGAGTATATCAAAATTAAAACAAATGTATAGTGTGCTAATCTAAATACATATATAACAGTAAATCAATTTTTATGGTAAGTCTAAAATATGACATTTAGTTGGGTTTAAAATGTTAAAACATTTATTAGTGGATTTATGATTTTAAAAACTTATAAGAAAATGTATATAATTTCAATTATGGTACATACTATTAATTGAAATATTTTGATTGGTTAAATGAAACGATGTGTCCATTAAATTGCTCATTGATTCACATCACAATTTTTTCTTCTATTGTCACTTCAATTAACATATAGAAGATTCAAAACAGTTTATGTTTCGGATATATTGATTTTTCAAGATTAATATAGTATCCAATAAACAAAGCAACATGAAAATTTGTTTTAAAAAAACTGATTTAATATTTTTCAATAATTAAATGTGTAAATATTTGTAAATTTAGTTATATATATATAATAGACTATATCAAAATTAAAATATATGTGTAGTGTGCTAATCTAAATACATATATAACAGTAAATCAATTTTTATGGTAAGTCTAAAATATGACATTTAGTTGGGTTTAAAATGTTAAAACATTTATTAGTGGATTTATGATTTTAAAAACTTATAAGAAAATGTATATAATTTCAATTATGGTACATACTATTAATTGAAATATTTTGATTGGTTAAATGAAACGATGTGTCCATTAAATTGCTCATTGATTCANATCACAATTTTTTCTTCTATTGTCACTTCAATTAACATATAGAAGATTCAAAACAGTTTATGTTTCGGATATATTGAATTTTTAAGATTAATATAGTATTCAAGAAACAAAGCAATATGAAAATTTATTTTAAAAAACTTATTTAATTTTTCAGTTAAAATTTTATTTATTTTCAATTAATTTTTTAATTTTGAATTCGTTTCGTTGAGGTTGGATCGAAGTTTAACTTTAATTTTGGGAGAGAACAAAATCCACAAATATGATTGGGTGCTGTCGACAAAAGAAAAGAATTTTAGTTAAATTCGGTGGGTAATTTAGGTGAAATATAGTAATTAAGATTTTTTAATATTATTTCCATAAAATATTTTGAAAGTATTAATGATTCCGTAAAACTTTATTTGATTTATATGTAAGATTTTTTTAAATGTCTTTTCTATTAATATATAGAGGATACCGAAATCATTAAATATATATATTTATTTGATCAACTATGGAAAAAAAAATAAAAATGTGTATTTACACAAATATAAAAAAACTTACGCAAGTGTCATAAAAAGTGATCAAATTAAGCAAATTTTTAAGATTGTCATGGGATATAAATTGATAATCGAATAAGATCTGGCCAAGATTTAGGTTACCACGTACAAATAATTGAAAGCCATCGTGTGCGAAAAAAAGAAGTCGTGAGCGAAAAATAAGACGATTAGGGTCGTAACCCTAGCCGTCGCCGGCGGTGAGCCCCTCGCTCATCCCACGAGAATTTCTCCCCCCTTTTCCTCTTCTTCTCCATGGCCTTTGTCATGCCTCCTGTAAATGTGCCGGTTCTGGTTCCACCTCTCCCTCTTAAACCCCCAGATCCGGTTATCCCAGAATCTCCTGACCCCATATCTCAAGTGCCCAAGTTTCCTTTAGGCGTAATTCGCCTCTCTCTTGAAGAAATCTCGGCCGATGCTCCTGTTCCGGTAGCTCCCCTACCAATCTCCTCTGATCTTCACGGTGTAATTTTAATCATGTGGTTGCCACAACTGTTTCCCAGACTTTAGAGAGTCTAGAGCGAGTCCCACTTTCAACTGATTCGTCGGTGGTTGAACAGAATCCCGTCGTTTTCGGCACTGCTCTGCCGTGGGCTACTAGATTTAGGTCTTCTCTCCGGAATCTGAAAAAGGAAACAACGCCTTCATTCTTAGATGATGGTACTCCCATTGTATCGGCTCCTGATTCAGTCTTGCTAGGGGCTTCGGTTCTGTGGAAAGGTCATCTTATTGCTCATTGGTACGGGAAACCCCCTCCAGTCTCAAGAATTCTCTCTGATCTCAACCCAATATGGGGTACTCAAGGACGGATATCTGTGAGGCATCTGTCTGACTCGTCGAGTTTAATTTTCATTCCGTCTGAAGCTACCCGTGCTAGAGGTCGCCGCTAAATAAGTAGGTGAACCTATTAAAAACATGTCACCTACCTACCAAATTTGATGCTATATTCGACGCTATACGTTCGACGCTTTTTTATGTAATTTTAGCGTCGATTTAGCGTCGAAAAGCCTGTCCCGACTCAAATTCGACGCTAACTCGACGCTAAATAGCGTCGAATCATTTCGTCCTTATTTACTGACGACTTAGCGTCGAAATTTAATGGCGATGCAAAAACGACGCTAAATCGATGCGATATTAGCGTTGATTTACATTCGACGCTAAATTTCGACACTAAAATTGTGTTTTCTTGTAGTGAAACAAAAACAGAACGAATATATACACATTAGAGAGAAAAAGAAATCATACCTCGTTGCCCACGCAAGTAGTAGACCAATCCTAGAAAACACAAGAAAAAACAAATTACATTAATAACAAAACAAAGCATAAACAAATCGAGAAACAAGAAGAGAAGTTAAGGAAAAAAATAGATTTTATGGTACGTCCATATAGTGTTGGATATCATTATTTTAACAGTTGATATCCTATTTTTTAAGTGTCCAATTATTTTTGACTGTTGAATAAAATATTCTAAAAATTAAATAATAATCTTAATCATTTAAAATAGTGATAGACGATCATATGATATAAATACTGATAAAAAGTTATATGAAGAAGATAAGTGCGACGTGAGTATAAAACCATCCGCCAAACTAACTGAACACTACATATGTGAGCAAGATTTCACTGTAGCATAACTATTTGAACCATAGGTTTGTTTAGTTTGTTAGGATTAAAGATTCTTTTGGGTTAACGTTTCCCGCACTTAGGGTTTAATTTTTTAAAAACAATTTGCAAAAAAATGATCTTGATATATATTTTAGTATAGTTTTAATTGTTGGCCTAAGATATTTATTTGATGAATTTTTAGTATCCAAAAAAATATAAATTGTATTAGTATAAATAATAAAAATATGACTGAAAACTTATTTTCTATGAAAACTAAATATTATTAGAAAAAATGATATTTTCAAATTAGATATATAAAGAATCAAATTCGAAGGAAAACGTACAGATTTATAAAGATTTCTAAATCCTACCAATAACACTCAAATAATCAGCTACCATTATTAATCATCAGCTTTATATTACCTATAAGCAAGTAATATTATGTGTTTGTGATCATGTAAGGGCATTATGCAAGCAACAATTTATGAGATATGGAGTGAGACAACTTGCGACTTCACCCAGTAAATTCAAGACCTACGACGAGAAATAAAAAACCTAAACATCAATCAGCATTTTCGTCATTAGAATGAAGAGAATCATCTTCACCATCAGTAATTTCAACATACTCAGATCCACTGTTGTTTTCGTAATCATTGGTACCATATACATGCAATGTCATCTTCAATCTTTTCAATACCTTCATATTCGTTATTAGGATGTCAACATTATATCATCTGTATATTAATTGAGGAGACACTTAGGTGAACAATCCTATTTATCAGTTAATGAAGGTTTTAAGGAACATATAATTTAAATTAATCAACGAAAACATTTTAATTAAAACTATCATGGTGGAAATCTCTACATATTCTTATTAATTTTATATCATAAGCCCATTAATACATGTTTTACAAATCTAAATCTAACTAAATGTAATATTTAGACTTACAATATCTTCTTTTTTTTAATAGCATAAATTTTTTCTTAACAAATTTAAAAACAAATGGCGTTATTTCTAAATTTTAATAGCATAATTGTTTTTAAAAAAATAAATGGGCATGTTGCATGTTATAATTAATTAGACTTACGATATAACATAAGCCCAGTAATTTGTTTTTAAAATTACAACAATAAAATTTCTATTTTCTTTTGAATTTATAGATATACTATTTATATTTTTATGATATTAAAAGGTTCTAAATATTAGTATGTCAAGCTAAACAACCAAATATGTACTCAAAACAATTAAATCAAATAAACTTTTAGAAAATTGAAAAGATCTAATCCCTAAGAGGAGGAGTTTAACCATAGGAAAGCCTAAACCCTCACACACTAAGTAAAATTTCGGTTTCAAACAGTTTGGGTGTTGAAATAATTTGGGTTGTATGTAATGTTAGAGAAAAAATAATCTTTTAGTTTGATTTACCTTTTAGTGTAAATTACTACAACAATCACTGTATGATATAATATTACTACACAAATAAGATAAAATATTATGACAAAATATTCGTTTTTATACTAATAATTGTTTTTTAATTTATAGATATATCATTTATATTTTTAGCAAATTAAAAAATTTATAAACATTAGTATGAGAGAATAAACCATTATAAATGTATGCAAAATATTTTGAACAATTAAAAAGACTTAAACCTTAAGAAGGTGAGTCTTAACCCTATGAGGGCCTTGTCTCACACACTGAGTAAAACTACGGTTTAATACAGTTGGATGTTAAAAAAATATGGTATCGATTAACAAAAACAAAATCCAAGTCCTCATGTAAGAAAATCTTGTGCATCCGTATACAACAAAAAGATATTGTTTTAAACATATAAAAAAAAAATCTGTCAATACAATATTAGGAACACTTTTTGATATGTTTACCATCCATACCAGACATTAAAAAAATATCTTTTGTTGTATACCGTTGCACAAGATTTTCTTTCATGAGGTCTTTGATTTTGTCTTTTGTTTATGTATTG